CGTCGCCGGTGGTTCCCTGCAGCACACGCTGCCGCAGCCGCGCCGCGTAGACTTCGCTGTCGGCGCTTGTGTCGTCGTCGGCGTCGTGCTGCGGGGCGGCGTCGTGTTCTGCGGCACCGCTGCGCCTCCTCGTCTTTGCCCCCGCGTCCCCGATACCGCCTTGCCCGCCCTGCACCGCCCCCACTGCCCTCCCCTCCGCCTCATCATCATCATCGTCGTCATCGCCGTCGCTGTCCTCGCGCTCAAACACGATGTGCTTGCTGAGGCCGAGGTCGCGCACGCGCAGGTCGGCCGCCTCGATGTATTTGCGCACCTTCCGCTTCGAGAGGCCGGCCATGCGCTCGGCAGCGCTCAGCGCCATCGATGCCGCCTGCTGCTGTGTGTCACTGTTGCCCTCATCGTTCCATGTGTGTGGTCGCTTGACGAGGAAGCCGTCGTCGGCGTTGTCCTTGTCGTTGTCGTCGTCGTCATCGTCATTCGTCACGTAGCGCTGCTTCAGTTGCAACGTACGGAACATGTCAGACGCGGCGAGGTGTTTCTCGCGGCGGGTGGTGGGCTTCTGTTGCTGCGTCTGCTCTTGTTGTTCGCGGTGGGTGATGTAGTTGACGACGTCCCACGGCAAGTTCTTCGCCCCGCGTTGCAGGTTCTGCAGCTCTGACATGTCGGGCACCTTGAGCAGGCCGAGCGAGTGGGCGAAGGGGGCGACGTCGATGGCATTCACATCGAAGACGAGCTTGTTCGCGGCGAAGTATACAGAGCGGAGGTACGCGATGAAGGCTTTCTGTGCCTCGTACTTCAGCCCCTGCACCACAAGCGCCACGAATATCTCCTTCGACTCCTGCAGCATGCCCGGCCGTATGGCGATCTCACGCAGCGGGATGTGCTTGTGGGCGAGGTAGGACAACATCGGCGTCTCGTGTGGGGTGAGGAACAGCAAACTGACGCCACGCGCGCCAGCGCGTGCGGTGCGGCCCGCGCGGTGGATGTACGTCTGGGCGCTGTCAGGGCAGTCGTACTGCACAGCCCAGTGGACGAGGGGGAAGTCGAGGCCACGGGCGGCGACGTCGGTGCAGAAGAGCACCGCCGACTTGCAGCGACAGAAGGTGAGGAACACCTCCTCGCGCCGGAACTGCTTCATCTTGCTCGTGAGGCACATGGAGGGGATGCGCATCTTCCTGAGTATCTTCGAGAAGGCGAGGTACATGTAGCGCACCTGGTTGCAGGTGCTCACGAAGACGACGATCTTGTCGTTGGGGTGCCGCTTGAGGAACAGCAGCAGCGCGTCCAGCTTGCGGTGCAGCTCGACGACCATGAAGTTCTGGCACAGCGTCGCAGGCGTCGGCGCGGCGGTGGCGGCGTGTGCCGTGACGTAGCGCTGATTGCGCAGCGACATTTGCGCGAGCATCTGGACGTCGGTCGTCTGCGTCGCGGAGAAGAGCAGCGTCTGGCGCTGCGTCGGCAGGTGGCGCAGGATCCCGGTGAGCGCCTCGCGGAAGCCCATGTCGAGCAGCCGGTCCGCCTCATCCATGACGAGCAGCTGCAAGTTGTCGGCCGTCACGTGTGCGGCGTCCTCGAGGTGGTGCAGCACGCGCCCGGGCGTGCCGACGATGATGCTGATCGCCGCCAGCC